GGCAAACCGATTCCAGGGAGTGCGCCCCTTACAAAGAAAAGACAACTCTTCCCGGGACTACCGCCGACGTCTCCAAGTTCGTTTGCGGAGGTTCAACCGTTGGTTATGGACAAATAACCTGTTTTGTTTATTAAGATGAACATTATAATACAGTAATACACTAACAACACGCACAATCAATTACAGGATCACCGCCTGTTAACATCAAATAACATAATAACATGCAAATAATATTTAACATAATAACATGAAAATAATATTTAACATACAATGATAAAATATAATACAATACTAACGGAATAACACAAGTTAAAATTCGTTGGTAAATAGAAATATTAAACAAAACACGACTAGCTACTATTTGAACAGCGTATGCTCTTGCTGACGGAGCAATTAGTATGCTCTTGAACATTGCTCAGTTTGCGGAGCTTCTTTATTTCGTATCAAACTCTATCTGTTAGCTGAGCTGTACGGTATTTTTCTAGCAAATGCCGAAATGCTGGTCCAGATTCCTCGATGACTTTTCGGACTTGTCACTCATTAGTTGTAATGTCGCTCGGAGCAACAGACGGACATCATTTATTCCAAAGTTTCGTCTGTTGTGGGAAATTGCGCCGACGTTCGGTGATTCGTATATTGGTGTTTCATCCTCTTCAGATTCACTCGATACTTTTCCCTCATTGGTAATTCCAAATAGGTTTCGCACGTGAGAGGTTGCTCCAACCGTTTTCTTGATCCCTAACGTTAGGTCATAGTGTTTGTCGGCTGTTTTCACGGAATGGCACATGTGATGAGCAAGTTCTTCTTCTTCGTTCCGTGATGCGCCCTCGTTGCGCAGTGCTGTAACAGCCGATTTTCAGACATGAGACGCACTGATCTTAGGCAGGAGTTTGGGTGATTCTTTTTTGAACTCTTGCCAGCCGGTATTGATGGCCTTGGCGAAGGCCGAATTCGTCAACGCCCGGCCTGTCGTGTTTGTGAACACGTTTTCGACGTTTGGATTTACGTGCATTCGGACTGAGTCAACATGGAAACCTTGGTCTGCCTTCCCAGCTCGAAATATTTTCTGTGCAGCACATGTTTGTGGCTCAGGGTTGTGGCACAGGTTTCAAAACATGCGTAATTTAGATGGCACATGTTTAATTGAATTAGACTTTTTCCTGTGCCACTCATATTTTGCATTGATTCAAACATAAGCAGGCTCAGATTTTGTGCACAGGAAATGAACAAAACCTGAGTTGGCACGTAAATTCATAAGCCTGCTCAGGATCAGCTATAGCTTTTGGCTCAGGAATTTTCTAGTTTGCTCAGGTTTCAAAACATGTGCTGGCACAGGTTTGAATCGATAACTTGAGCAGCTCAGATTTGGATTGAAAACCTGTGCATGCTCAGGTTTGGATTGAAACACCTGTGCAAGCTCAGGTTTGATTGAATTAACCTGCAGGCTCGACAGGTTTCGATTGAAAAACCTGTGCAGGCTCGGGTTTGGATTGGAGACATGTGCAGGCTCAGATTTGATTGAAGTAACCCAAGCGCAAGCTCAGATTTGATTGAAGTAACCCAAGCGCAAGCTCAGATATTCCCCAAAATTTTACAACAATCAGGTTACACTATAAAGGGGCCTCACCCACTTCATCCTACTTTATTTAGAATCAAAAATGAAGATGAATTACTGAATTACTTCCAAGGATTAAAATTAATGATAAAATTTGGTATTTATAAATGAAATGCAAATTTCTTGGAAGCTACTGTCCATTTAGATCACTTTATTTAGTGTCCATTTTTTTAATTGTACGGCGTGCCCCAGTGCATTTTGAATTGATTACTGCAATGTAGTCAAAAATTCTTCTCTTTAGGGAACTTTTCCATGATGTACTCTGAAATGCAAAATGTCAAAATTACTAACTATTACCGGTACTGCTGGAACAGGCCCAAAATATGCATTTCTACTACTGCTGAATGCAAATTGGTTTGCTTTAGTGGAGCCAGCCATTTACAAGTGTGTGCATGTCTAGGTTTGAAATTTAATTTGCCACCAAACCGCACATTTATTGTAAAGAATCGTAAGAGGAATATCTCCCAAGTGTTCTTGGTGTTAAGCGGTTGTCCTGGCGATCCCCATAGGATGCACCCTTGTACCCAGTGTACTTGATCCAAATGGTTGCTGAATATTAATGAAATAGGATATTTACCTCTGACAGCTCGTATATCATCAGCTGGTAATGGTGTATAGTCCGACTTGGATTTGTTTTTCTATGCCTTGCATGATGCTAGCGTTCTTAGGTTGAACAGACAGGTAACCAGGTTTCTTAATGACAATTCTGCAGTTTTCCCTACTGACATGTCTATCTGTGCTTGAGTGAGGTACACTTCTTCTCCTTCCACAAGTTTTACTTTGGGCTGACCTTTTGACTAAAATAATTTATAATGAATATTATAACACATAAGGCCAAACAAAAAAATACGTGTGCTTCCGGTTACCGGATGGATGGATGGACGGATGAACGTACGACGGACGACGTGCCATGACAATAGCTCATCTTGACGTTGTCAAGGTGAGCTAAAAATTATACTTTAGACATTTAAATTCCATTCTGAGCAAAAAACCTTCATTTTTAGTGGAAATTTGCCCATTATGAGGGAGTTGCTAAGCGATTGCCATCGATCCACTACCTACGACTGAAGTTAAATTTGGTCTGGATCAATCCAGTGGCCTGTGAGGATAGCGTTCAAACAAATACACCCACAATCGGTCTGCAAATTAATAATAGGATACATAATTCAACTTACATCATTTGGAACAGTGTAGATCATTTCCCATCAACTTTATCTGGGATATCAAATTTTAGTGAATTCTCTGCAGAGACTGATGAGATTGATGGGTTTTGTGTTTCTGGATCATCCAATGCTGATGGACGTTTTTGGTCATCCTTCTGCATCTGTCTGTGATCTGTCAATTTTGACTGCTCTGTCCATACTCGAGCTGGATTCCATGTTCTGGTAGAGCTGAAATTTATTTGCAAATATTTGCAAGTTAAAATGGCCCTAGAAAGTATTCACTTGAATGACGGTTGCCTATATTCACCATTTCATTTCTAGTCTAAATCTACAGTAGTCTTCAATTATAACATCCTGTTTCTTACTGTATATCTTGTATCAGATCTAAGCAAGCGGTTGGCGTTTTGACATGACCAGTCTATAAAAATGTGTAGACAACCTTAATTTTCTGTGACAGCCATTTAGTAAACACACATGATAAGCTGATGCACACTTTTTTTCATCTCGATAATTTAGCAAAATTTTGTAAAATTTAATAATTATCCATGTAGAATCCTGCCTAAGAGCTATTCCAGAAAGAAACAGATGTGGGGGTTGGGGGGCGGGGTAATATGGCAATAATTATGGATGGTTGGGGTCAGCAAAAATGCACTATTGGTAGTCGTTTCTGGTAATACAAGGCTTTTTCATCAACTAATTTATTATTGGTGGTTGGGGTTATTAAAAATTCAGTTTTATTGGTGGGGGGTCAAAATTAAGTGCCGTCTCCCCCCTTTTCTTTTTGAAACTGCAGCCCTCTATCGACAAGAGGCTGTTCAACTTGGAGACCTGCTTCGGATATGGGTATGATCCGGCACGGTACGGTGCTTTACGGAAACAACATCCCTATCTCCAGGCAAACCGATTCCAGGGAGTGCGCCCCTTACAAAGAAAAGACAACTCTTCCCGGGACTACCGCCGATGTCTCCGAGTTCGTTTGCGGAGGTTCAACCGTTGGTTACGGACAAATAACCTTTTTTTTTATTAAGTTGAACATTACAATACTAATAACCGTTAACATCAAATAACACAATAACATGAAAATAACATTTAACATACAATGATAAAATATAATACAATACTAACAGAATAACACAAGTTAAAACTTGTTTTCAACAATATTCAACAAAACTATTTAGACTAGCTACTATTTGAACAGCGTATGCTATTTCTGACGGAGCTTAGTATGTTCTTAAACATTGCTCAGTTTGCGGAGCTTCTTTATTTCGTATCGAACTCTATCTGTTAGCTGAGATGTACGGTATTTTTCTAGCAAATGCCGAAATGCTGGTCCAGATTCCTCGATGACTTTTCGGACTTCTTTTTCTTTTAGCTTTGTTTCCTTATGTTTAACCTTGTCACTCATTAGTTGTAATGTCGCTCGGAGCAACAGACGGACATCATTTATTCCAAAGTTTTCGTCTGTTGTGGGAAATTGCGCCGCCGTTTGATGATTCGTATATTGGTGTTTCATCCTCCTCAGATTCACTCGATACTTTTCCCTCATTGGTAATTTCAAATGGGTTTCGCACGTGAGAGGTTGCTCCAACCGTTTTCTTGATCCCTAACGTTAGGTCATAGTGTTTGTCGGCTGTTTTCACGGAATGGCATGTGATGAGCAAGTTCTTCTTCGTCGTCCCGTGATGCGCCCTCGTTGCGCAGTGCTGTAACAGCCGCTTTTCAGACATGAGACGCACTGATCTTAGGCAGGAGTTTGGGTGATTCTTTTTCGAACTTGCCAGCCGGTATTGATGGCCTTGGCGAAGGCCGAATTCGTCAACGCCCGGCCTGTCGTGTTTGTGAACACGTTTTCGACGTTTGGATTTACGTGCATTCGGACTGAGTCAACATGGAAGATCCCCTCCGCGTAGAGCTGCCCGTGTAGGTTGACTCTGCACACGGCTGTTGCTTTTGTCTTGTGTTGTTTTACCAAAACGATGTGGTCTTCTTCCTCGCCGACTGCAGTCGAGAGCTCATCCAACTTCATGTTGATGATATCACCAGCGCGTCGAGCATTTGTTAGTAGCGCTGCTAACATCAAATGGTTGCGTACTTTCACGAACGCTTCCTCGGTTATCATCTGCTTTCCAAAGAGGATGTGTTTCGCAGATTTCGCAGCCCCAGATTTGAACTATTTCTTGATTGTCTCCACTGGAATCTCTGTTTGGAGATCTCTGATTTTTGCCTCCGTGGTTTCTGCTTTTGCATCCTTCTGGAGCACTGCCTTTATATTGCCAATAACAAGAGACAGTTTCTCTAGTGAACCCTCACACAGTCTCACATTCTGATCTCTTAAAAACTCCACGAATTTTTCCATGCTCCATAAATACATTATTATTGTCACAGCTTTGAGTGATTTTTCCATGAATGATGCCGCTTTTCTTCGAAATCTCTCCAAGGCATTTAACTGTGGCGATCGTGGCAGGCGTTTCAATTGTCTCTAGTATACATCACCCTCACGGTGAGAAAACAACGCATCACCCTCGCGGTGAGAAAATAATGGGTTGCCCTCATGGTGGCCCACACCCAGCAGATTACTCGCTCGCCTCGTGCGAGCAGAATATGGGCCCTCCTCGGCCCACGTAGGATCACGCCTGGCGCGCGGTGCAGGGCTAACAGTAGCCCGAGCGACTGACGGCGACCAATCAGCCCGTGCTGCGGCAGCGGTATCAATCGGCGCAGACCAAGCAACCGAATCTCGTCGACGAGGGGGAGTTCTCACCAACCCACGCCCCCTACTTGGCGTTAAGGATGCTGGCGGAGTAAAATCATCTCCCATCAACCCTCTACTACGCGTCGCACACCCCTGCACACCAACCCCAAACTCATCAGGGTCTGATGAAACCAATCCCACCTGTCTTCGCCCGGGCACCCTTCGGCGGCATTGCGAACCGCTCCCCGAGAAACGTCGTCTGACAAAACCACCCTAAGCACACCGGCAGGTCTGCGGCACCAGTTGTAGCGTTTTGTGTCTTCCCGCGACAACTGAGGGCGCCACCTGACAATACGCAGTAACTAACAGTTTACCCTACGTATGGTGCAGTGCAACACGGTGGATAGTGACAACAAGAGATACAAGATAGATACTCCTACCTTGTACGTCGTATCGTCGCCACCCGGTCTCCACTCCCTCACGAGCGCCTCAGTGCTACTGCGCTCTCTCCTCCAGACCCAGCGTTCGTTCCGGCTCCGGTGCGGTTAGTCAACAATGCCAGATGACGTACGTCACGGGACAGACAGTGACACAACACAACACGGCGCACCTTATGACGCGGGGCTACTCGGGAGATATTACTTTAACGTGTAGGGGAGGGCTAGGCAGCCGGCTGACGGGACACCCGTACGGCCACTCACACAAGGGGCGCACTCACGTCCGATGCGCCTAAGGCTGCTACTCGAGGGGGTTATTAAATACGTCTGTTGACGTCTATCAAGTCACTATTAAAACTGCTATTGCCGTTACCGTTACTGTTACTATTAGTATCACTAAGCGTGCGTGCGTGCGTGCACATGCGTTGTGTGTATCTGTGCTTGTGCGTGTAGGTATATATGTGTGTGTGTTCGTCTCTATTTATGATTCTGTCTAACAGGTGTAATAACTAAGCGCAATTTTAAAACATGACGTCTTTGTCTGCGCGTGTATGTGCGTCCATGTGTGCGTAGCGCGGAGCGTATTTATCAGGCATATTTGCGAGCTATATGTATTGGTTAAATAATGAATGCGTGGGTCTAAGTTTCTTCGATAGTATCTTGCACGCTTTCTTTCGATATTGCAAACTACTGTTATATAGCACCAGGGTTGATCTCTAAGCCCACATGTCTATGGTCATTGATAAACATTTTACTTCGTAATTATATCGACATACAATATCACATATGCTATACTGCTTCCACAAAAAATGGGTTCAGAGCAGTTCACCCACATAATTAGAAATAATTACATCGACATACAATATCACATATTCTATACTACTTCCCACAACAACGGTTTCAGAGCAATTCACCCACATAATTATAAATAAGTGTATCGACATGCAATATCACATATGCTATACTACTTCCCCCAACAACGGTTTGAGAGCAATTCACCAACACAGATTTATTACACATTTAAATTGATTGATTGATAATGATTATTAATATTATTATTGGTATTATTATTATTATTTATACGTTTTCATGGCATTACTCGCGTATATAATAATAATAATAATAATAATAATAATAATAATAATATTTTACAGATGAGTTTTAAACATAATTTACTATCAGGTTATTTGACGAGAAACTATTCAAGATGATGTGATGGTGATGATGATGAAGAAGAAGAAGAAGAAGAAGAAGAAGAAGAAGAAGAAGATGGTGATGATGAAGAAGAAGAAGATGGTGATGGTGATGGTAATGGCGGCCCGCCAGGCTATCGTCGAGCCCCGCCATCCTAAAATGCACCCGTCACTCTAAATATCATAGCCCCCGGACCCCCCTAGCAATCAAACCGCTTTTGGCCGACCTTGCATGTAGTAAAGGCAGCACTTCCATGCTATAATGGAAACGCTTGGAGAACCCTGTATGGTGATGATGATGATGATGATATTGATGATCATGGCGATGATGATGATGATCATGATGATGACAAGCATAATCATGTTTTCCGCGTTTATTACATTCAATAGCTATTTCATCTCAATTAGATCTCAATCATCGAGCCAGTCAAGTTCGGCACCCTCACCGTTGAAAGATGTTTTTCTGACGCCATTGTCGAATAGAATCATGTTTTCCGCGTTTATTACATTCAATAGCTATTTCATCTCAATTACATATCAATCATCGAGCCAGTCAAGTTCGGCGCCCTCACCGTTGAAAGACGTTTTTCTAACGCCATAGTCGAATAGAATTTCTTCGCCAACGTTTATATCTCGGACGGCTTAAAAAAGTATGGTTGTTTGCTCTAATTCTTCACAATACGGTTTAACGTTACCCTTTCTCATCTTTCTCGAATGATTTATTAGCCTGCCCTTCGTGCTCTCTATGTGTGGGTGACATCGGCAGGGCACATTCTGTGCATTCACACAATGTTTTTCGCCAGTTTTTCCATTTCTAAAAAAAAACAGGTATCCCCCTCATCATCTAATATTTCGTTCTGTCGTTGCAACCCCTGCTCACGTGTAAGCAGGGTAGCATGATAGTCACAAATGATCTCACCCTGTTTAAAGGACCTGCATGGTTGCAATGATACCTGCCCCTTTGTTGGAATAGTGTATGCCCAGCCCAGGCCAGTTTTCCTTGATGATGTGTTTGCCAAGATGTGCTTGACCGGATGCCGTTGTTACCTCCGCCAGGGGCTTGGCGGAAGTTGTTTTCACCGGCGTGTCTTTGAATGTTGGTTTGTGGGTTTGTGTGTTACCATGCACGTTTCAGTTCACTTCTGCTAGGTGCGCTGGCTGTAGACTTACAAACACGCAACCACAGGCTAAGGGGCAACCACAGTCCTCCCCCACCTGCACGCTCGCACTAATCTGGATCCAATTATATATTTAATTAATTAATTAATTAATAAAAAAATTCACATTGAGAGAATTCAGCTGCCTTGGCGGAGGTCTGTGCTCTCCGAGTGCTCTAGTTCTCGGTGTTATTGTCAGCATCCATGATGACATCACATCGTTCGCGAGTTTCTTCTGGAGCCAGCCCATTTTCTCCAGACGTTTTTCTGTAGGTCTTACTCGTGGGAATGCAGCTATAAAGGAATTTCATCATGAATGATAAGTAAAATGTTGCTTGCATGTGTTATTACGGAAGGCTCCTTTCTTAGAATTATTGACATTAACATAAAATGAAAGAATAAGCCTATATAATTGATGCATGATACATTCACAACGTCGCACACAGTCGATATGTAGCACTGAAACCCCGTTACATTCTCACAGAACACAATGAACATATA